TTGGTGTACTCGCGTTGGTGCTTGTACTGGTCGATGACTGTCGGTGCAACATTGGGCTTGAAGATACCGGCTCCGATGGCAAGTAGGAAATAGCTGATAAGAAACGGGGCAACACCTTTGCCGGCTTGCAGGATTGACGGAGCAGCGCCTCCGACCATGATAACATGGGCAACACCTCCAATACCAACACCCCATGCAATGGCTTTGTAACGGCCGATCTTGACGTCTGCAATCCACGCACCAAAGATGGGAATGACGTAGGCCAGGAAGGTGAAGAGGAGACCCAAGGCAGAGGCTGTCTGCAGTCCCAGACCAAGAGCGCCGGCATGGGAATTAGGCTTGGACTTGTCGATGGCACCGGTGCCAGGACCTCCTTCGGGCAGTGGAAACTGGAGATAGTTGTTGAAAGCGGCCTTGACACCATAGTATGATGCTCTCTCGGCCATTTCTACCACGCAAAGAGACCATGATGTGATAGGGATGGAGTCTGCAACTTTGCGAAGCGTCGACCGCTCTTCAGCAGTCGGAGCCGGGTAGGCATCATCATCGATGACAGAGTGTGCCTGATCGAGGGAGTTGTTTTGGGACTCTACGTCGAGGGTACTAACTTGTTGAGCCTTCTCGGGGTGTACGCCTTGGTCGGAGTCGGGTTCGACGACCTTGTGCACGTTGAGACCAATAACATTCTCAGCTGCAGACATGTAAGCGAACTAGACGTACATCAAACTTGTGCTAGAGAACTTACCCATGGTGATCAACTTCGCTCTGTATAACTTGACAGCGTAGGTCAAGAGACTGAAGGAAGAGAAGGTGAGGAGGCCCGGGAACTGAGTTTTGACCTACCTCGCACCTACTGATATGTTATCTGCTAGTCTCCGGAACGTTGCAGCCAGAGATAGATCTCCAGGAAAGTTGACAGGAGGGCCCCATCGAACTATCCTGTTCAGGGGCCGTAGGCCTGCCCAGACGGCCAAGGCGGGGCCAAGATTGATCGCGAGCTTGTGGAAGCTTGTTGCGACATTGGCACATTGCCATTGACCCCATGCATATCCTAGTCCCGGCAAGTGGGTGGCTAGCTCCCGTCTGGGCACTGGATAACGTCTCTTTAATTCCAAGGCTGGAAAACCAGCGAAATCTTCACAAATTATAAGAAGTTTGGAGAACTTCTCGCATTCTTTTGAATCTATGAGCATCCAAATGCCGCTTATCTTTGGTGTTTGGGGAACTTCAAGAGCGGAACGTTACCATAATTGCTGCCCACTTCCCCGGCCAGCGGGACCCCATGTCCACAACAGATATGGAGGCGGGCCGATATCAACACCCTTATCGGTCTTTTATCCGCCGGCATTCCATGACGGGAGCCCACGACGTCGATTGCGTGATTGCGAGAGTGGGGGATTTTGTCGTTGCACATCCAACAAGAGCAGAGATATCCCCAAACCACGAAATTGATGTGCTTGTCCCCTTGCCGTAGTTGACCGCCGGACGGGACGACCGAAAGCTTATTAGTGCTTGGGACCGGCGCATCCTCAGTCGGACGAGCTGTTGTGAAAAACTAGAAATGTCGCCATAATCCACCCAACTTCAATCCCAGCTCGAGTTGCGTAACAAATAGACCAATATGGCCTATGAGAACGGCATCATTGTCATCTTGCCGAGGCATGAGTGAGTATTTGTATCCTTCGCCGCCCCCTTTTCTTGTTTAAGATGTCTCGGCGGCCAAGCCGTGACGAGTCATTCGTGAGTGAGAAAGACGCGGCGAGAGCGCTCGAACAGGCACAAGATACATCGTTTTTGGAGTTCTTGTGGCTTTCTGGCGCTGTTGGCTGTGTAATTCTCGCGCAATCTTTAAGGTTTGCGATGCTTGGCGGTGGGAAATCTGGTTGAGCATTCTCCACATTCGACAAGCACTGGAGGCACGTTCCAACTTTCAAGCCCACCGTGAAAGCACGCCATCCATTGTAGCGAGTGACAAGTTTGACTGTGCGGTTTTCTCCCTCTTGCAGTATAAGAAGGACGTGGATGGCCCAAGATTTCCCCTCGAACCAAGAGTTTCTCAACATAGGTATGCTGGGACGTGATGCTTACGAATTTCAGTAAAACTCACGAATAAAGCTTTGGTAGCTTCCGACGCACATCCTGTTGCTTAAAGCAGAAGACACTGCTTTCCGGGAACATTGTTCATTGACGGGCATCCTAGAGGTCAATGAAGCTTCTCATGTTCATCTTTCTCATGTGTCTACGCAGATATCTCCGCACAAGTGGTCTTCGATTCATCTCAAACAGCTTTAAGTGACGTCACAACAATGTAGTCAAGCCATCGTAGTTATGTCTGGTTAAAAAGAAAAAGAAATACTTCAACCTTACAACACCGCTCTATATGTCAAACGAATTATTCACGTTTCTCAATGTTGAGAGAACCATACCTTATCAAAGCATGCAGCACATCTTTCAGGAACTTTGTACTTGAACTTGCGCGGAACTATTCAAATGGGCATGTTGTAATTGGTGGCCACTAAGATCAAGCCCTGTTTAACATCTTGACTCTCCTTGCTTCTACTACGTAGTAAGCTGCAGCCGGCAACTAAGAACGAAACTAACAACGAATCAACTGAGCTGAAATGTGGAAATGTGGAGATGTGATCGAGTATCTTCGTCGAGTGTATGTTCCAGCTGGCATGGAAATAGTCCAAACATAGTCGTATTCTGCCTACTCCAACTCAGAGTTTTGTTTCTCTCGCTTTCGAAGGTAGTGGAAGCCGATGTATTATTCCATTCAACTACCCGATGCCACCTCTGACGGCCCTGGGGTAATCAAGCGTGAGATATTGTAAAGTGTGTTTCTCCCGCTAGATTGAGTGTCTTGGGGAGCTGCAACACCTCGCAAGGTCAAAGAACCCCAACCAGCTGTTTTCTGAAGCCAGATTCCAAGGAATTGCTTTTTTCCCCAGCGCGACCCCTCAGGTTCATACAACTCGATCGTTTTGACCGGGAATTCAACGTCATGTTCATGTCAGCGCGGGGTAGCAGCTTCAGTTTAAGCCTCGAGGGAACATTAGCTGAACGTTGGGCTCTCATGACCAAACAGATTCATTATTCAACATGAGATTTTTCATTTGTGAGACACACATCCAGTTGTAACTTTCCTCTTTCGTTTCCACATGCTTCCGAGGCAATTCACCAATCAATCAACTTTTATAAAACGAGATACAGGCTCATGAGACCTCTATCCAGTTCCGGATTCATGGTGGTCTTCTCGTCAGTTTTCACACCTGAATACCATGGCACTAAAGAAGAAACCAGATCAGTCCGAGAAATCGGGGCAGAGCAGGAATTCGGAGCCGCCCAAGCAAGTGGACCAACCCAAGAAAACAGAACAATGTAAGAAACAGGCGCAGCCCAAAACACCAGAGCAGCTCAAGAAATTGGAACCATGCAAGAAATCGGGGCAATCTAAGACCTCGGGGCAACCCAAGATACCAGAACAGCCTAAGAATTCAAAGCACCTTAAGGAGTCGGAACAGTCTACGAAACCAGAACAGAAGCTGGAGAACCCAGAGCAGGAAAAGCCAAAAGAGGTGAAGAAATCAGAACAGGCTGTGGGCCAGCTTGGTTCGCAGACTGCGTCATGCCAAGCCCTCATTCGCACAGCCTGTCCTCAATATCTGACGTCTGAGGAATTTGAGCAGATAATTAGACAATTCAAAAGTTGTCCATGGCTGGAGAATAAGCAGGTGTTATGGAGCGGGTTGATGAAGGATCAGGTTCAAGAATGGGCAGCTCAACGAGGGATGCAGACGCTCACCACCGCCATGGGACCATTGATGGACTCGGGCAATCCCCTATGCTTGCGACAAACGAAAAGCTCCTGCGCGTGGTCAAAGTATATCAAAGGAGCTTCCCTTGTCTTTGCGTGGCGTATTTCTCAAGGCTCATACACTACCGTCCTAACTCCGCCACCGCCAGAACGGTTTCACCCAGACGGTCTAACCAACTGGCAAGACATAGAGGAGCCCGTCCTGAAGGGTCGTCTAGGCACTTCGACGTCATGTGCAATCTTGCTAGTTCATCCAGCTGTCCAAGAAGCTCAAAGTTTCCGCTATCAGGTGTGGCCGATAGACTACACAGATAAATGGCTCGAGAAATTCAAGGTCAATCAAGCCTCGATTCACACCTGGAGAACTATATCTAAATCAAGAGGTCAGTTCCTGTACTACTCCATATTCAGATTTTATATGATGGCTGATCAAAGTACAGCCCACACATCATGGATGGTCCCTACTGACGAGCCACTCAAGTCGGCGGATAGGATCAAGTTGAGCAACACGCGCAAAGCCAATGCCGTAACACTAGCCAGCACAGCTTCGAGGAATGACAATGCCTCCGCAGATCCAAGATGTTTTCTACAAAGTCAAGTAAACATGTCTGAAATTGGATTGGGTGGAGAGAAGAGACTAGCTATGCCAAAAGTCACCAAAGCTTCAGGCACTACGATGTCACCTCCCGGCCCAACACTGTCTCTACAAAACGAACAGAGCAGACGTCGAGTTGGAGTTGATGCAGCAACTCAGACTATCCAAGTGTCGTTCCCTGGGTCACAAATCGTCAACGTCTCAAGCGATGAAGCCCTACCCCCTGGTCCAGGAGGCCAGCCGCAATGCCAAAAGAGCATGGGCCAGACTGAAGCAGGTACAGAGACGAGGCCGGCCGTACCCAAGGTCAGTCAGGTTTCAAATGATGCGATCACTTCCCAAGATAGATCTGATACTCAGCAGAGTCTCTCGAATATTCCTCGAGCTCGCGCGAATCAAGAGGCGATTCAACTCAGTAGACCCGGAGAACCTGCAACGGACCCATCGTCTTGTGCGTCCATTACAGAAGCTCCATCGGCTTTCTTGGTGTGTCTGTATTTGGCAATTATCGAGATCATTCTATCGTTGCTGCTGCTTCTGATAGGAACTGCCGTACACCTTGGTTTGATGCCATGGAACAGGGCCAAAATGAGTGAAATCAAGACACCATGTCCCTCTACTAATGGCGGCTCGGCTTCTCAAGCAATACCAGTGAATTCAAAGGCTGCCAAGAAAGCTGCTAAGAAAGCTGCTAAGAAAGCGTCAAAACGGTTCATCAAAGAACAGTCTTTGAGAGAAGCTCAAGAGACACTGGAATCTGGCGTGGCCATCGGGAGGCTATTCCACAAAGACAAACTAGTGGACAAACCCCAGGCAGTCTATGTTGATACCTCCAGCACCTTGAGCAACTTTTCAGCGCCAACAGTAACAGTATATGGAATGGATTTTGCAAGCCACGATCTGCCTGGACATAAAAGGAAAGATAAGAACAAAAGAAAGAAGGCGACGGCGGTTGCGAGCATCACTGCGGAAGATGCGCAAGTCACCGCGTTCACACAGCCTACAAGGGAATATGCATACAGCTGTCTTGGACCAGTGGACCCCAGCGCGCTGAGGAAGTCCTACTGGGTAGACTGAGAAAGAGGTTTTGATTCAGCTGAGCACTAAGTAGTTGCTTATCGAGGGTCCCAGACTGTGAAAACTGAGATGACCCGGGTTCTGCATGTAGTATGTGTTGTGGCACAAAATGCGAAGATGTCTGATGTCGAGCGTGTCCTATTCAATTATTATCCAGTCAGTATCACTAGGAATTAGGACAGATGCGGTAAAATCATCTCTCATTACGAAACGGCATTATATCGACTGTCTTTGTCACAAAATATGACGATACGGGTTTTGTGTTTTCATGCAACGTGTAGGCCTTCTCATCGTGATGAAGACAAGGCATGGTAAACTTAAGTTGTTAGTACCTTGTATTGAACGCCAATGACTCCAAGTGAACATGATAGATGTTGCTACATAGAGGCGTATTTCATTGCAGGTTCAAATCATGTCCGCCCTCTGAATTCCTCTTCACGTCCAGCTTGAACTTACATGTAGCCACACGAACCGAAGCAGATATCTTTTACCTTGATTTGAAATAGCTATTGTAGAAAATCATGATAGACTCTAATGATGCCCCATACAAATCCAGTACAGTCTTGGAAGGTTCGGGCAACATCCTCCTGAAACCTCATTATCATGATGAGCCCATCTCATCAAACCCGGAGGAACCCAGACACAATTCTGACATCGCCGATCGACATCAATGCACCAGACCGTTGCGGTATCCTCGATCCCACAATAGAAGATAGAAAATGACACGTGAATCTAGACGCCTCACGATCATGGCTCCTCCCGTCTCGATGTCACATCACACATCAGCTCACGAAAGCCGAGTGTATGTTCCCCGGCTAACCCGCAATACCAGCACCTCACCTCACCCATCAACCGTCGGCCGAGCCATTGTTCCACAAAACTCGCATCATCGAGAGACGATCCCTGGCTCTTCCCCTCTCTTCACAGGCCAATGTCAGTGAAGCACCCCGAAATACGAAGGAATTCTGGAGATTCAAGTGGGTGAAGCAAAGGGTGCAAGAGGTCTAGACAACGGGACGATCACTGGCGTCATTCAAGCCCTCCACATCATCCAAGTTCAGGGTCCTTTCCAGAGCGGGCAGTAAATCGAGAGGGTGTGTTTGGATGGAAAAGGGATCAGCACCGCTTCACACCCTCTCACGCAACCCATCTGTACGTTATGTTATGGCTGCAGTTGATAAGCAACGCAGAAGCGCCTCATTGAACCCTGAAACGTCTTCTTGCAGGGCTGGCGCAGGTGTCTGTCTTGTGCGGCATATGAGAGGTCAATCGCTTGGGTATCAATCTCACACCCACTGGCAATGGGTGAGGTCGCAGTACACCGACACCGGTCCGTCTGCATCAGACAGCTTCTGGCCTAGGAAGGAAATTATGCCACTTAAAACAGCGATTGAGCGAGGCTGGATGGGGACGACCCTCAGAGAGGATGATATTTCCCGACCCTCCATCTCAAAGGTCTTGAATATCGTCCGAGATGGACAGGATATTGTTGGGGCCGTCATCATCGCGGTACGGGGCGAGATGTTACGGATTCCATGCAGACCGTGGATCCATCGCGCATTGTAGTGGCACGGTTGATAGTATGACTGTTGATGGTGGTGGGCGTCCAATCTCGGCGTGATATTTGACAAAATAATTAGCAAAAAGCTAACGTAACGGCGAAAGTCCGGAGCGAAGTCCACAAAGCATTGTTCTCTCCGATAACGCAAGGACGGTGAGGGCAGAAGAAGACGCGCACAGCCTCGCGCGAACCTTGCCGCCACCCGGCCGAGCGAGCCACAGACACAAACACAGAGAGCAGAAACACACGCACTCATACGCAGGAGAAGGGGGTGAAGAACAAGGTGGTCGGGGATTTTACAGGCCAGCCAGCCAGGCAGATCCAGCCCCTACAGCATCTAGGGACCCTGCCAACGCCGCAGATTATCACAGTTACCGACCTCGTTTTCGCCATGTCAGCCCCATGCAAACGCACTGAAGCTCACTGAAGCTTCTTCTGCTTTAGCAGTTTAAGTCTGTGCCGCTCCTCATCTCCACTGGCGCTGGCAGCGGACGCCCCTCCAGGGCAAGTCCCTTTCAAGTCTCCCAACAACAACGCAGTACACGTACACGTATGCGTAGAATCCACAGAGGCGAGTTTGACATGTCTTGTTCCAAGGCAAAGGCAAACTAGTTTGGGAGACGTGCGGCGCCATCGTGCTTCGTTGGAGTGATGTTTGAACGCCGGCGGCTCTGTTGTGCTCCACATCGGTCTGATATGATGGATGAGGAATGATTATGTGATGATGGCCCGTTCGTCTTCCCATCGTTTAGCCTCAACATGATGTGAGCGAAGCAGCAGCAGCAGTAAAGTGGAAACCCAAAGCAATGACAAAAGAATTGGGTCTTGCGGGGGTTGGGTTCGGTGTTCGTGGGTTTGTGGGCTGGTGGACCTCTCCCTTGCACGAACACCCTCGACCGCCTGGACCTTCTCCAGAACTGAGCTGAGCTGAGCTGCACGACGGCCGCTGCTTTGCGGAGACGGGAAGGGGACTTGAGGGGAAAGATTGTCCATCGATCAGCGTGAGTCTAAATCTCTCTGAGGAACAAACGCAAAACGGCGGCTGGGGCTGGATTCATCAGAGACATGAATCTCCACAGATAAGCAGAATGGCTTTTTTACGTCTGGCGTCTCACTCTCGAAATCTAGGTAGTAGATCCCGATTCCCGTTCATCGAAGGCAGACAAAAGCAGCAGCGGCTCATCCGCTGTTCTCAGCGATGCGGCGGACGCCGGGGTAGGGGGTGTAGAAACATGGGAGGAAGACGTCAATAAGTCCGCTCATCACTTTTCTCAGACCTCCAACGAACCATGCAATCCACATTAAATCCGCATTGCATGTAATGTCTATTTCGAATCCGTACGTCCATCGTTTTGAGCGTATCAGAAGCATCGAGAGGCCTGGGCAAAAAGCGTCAATATTACCTGTGCCGCTCATCCACCCCCGACTGCCCCTCGTTCCCGCGCTTAGCAGCCCACATCCGCAGACAAGCAGACACTGGGACCGACCCATCCGCTGGGTCTCGTTAACCGTGAGTTCGACATCTGCAAGTGAGCCTCGAAGGGGGAAGAGAAGAGCCTCCTCGCATCTTGACAGTCACAGACCGACGGTCTAGAGCGTGGTCCATCGAATCCTTCACCCCCTCCTTCACCTCACTCACCTCCTCCCATGGTGCTACGCCCAACGCTCACCGGCCCGTGTAGCTCTTGGCCAAGGGCCTCTCCGTCTGATCCACGGGCAGCTCGAGCGCACCACCCGCTCAGTGATCGACAGTGTCGGCTTTGGTTGTCAGATTTGGCGCATCTAACGGACAGCTCCAGATGCTGCAAAGCTTACGAACGAGGCGAGCTTCAGCCAACGTTTGCTTGACAAGGTTGAGTTTCTTTGCTTGAGGCGGTAGGTCTCGCCGGTATAGTCGGGGGGCGGAGGACTCCGCTGCCGGCAAGTACAATTCCCGTCGCCATCGGCTTTGAATTTTTCACCACACCAAAACACAGAAACAGCAAGATTCAACGTCTATCAAATCCGATCTCTGCCTAAGTCAACTCAAACACCCTCCGTAAGACTTGAACCCCTCTTCTGTTGCCTTATGTACACACGCAACTGTAAGTGTAGCTGCCAGTCTCTCGACACAGCGCTCCTAAGGAACATCTAAACAATTCTCATGTTCGCATATCCCAAGAATCGTGCAGTGGCTCATTCGTCATTCACACGCCTAGCCCCCTAGTAGAGGCGAAAAAAATCTCTGCAAGTAATTGGCAGGGGTCGACATCAAGCTGCAGTCCCAACTGTCCGATATTGTCTCACCATATGTGCCTCGCTGAAATGCTCTCTCTTACATCTTGCGAACCCTGGATCTGAACAATTCCGACCACCGGCTTTCGAGCCTCGAAGGGGTGGTCTTGCATGCCATGGATTGGTCGATTAACCACTCAACTCATCTCATCCTCGTTCCCGTTGCCGCTGGCGGGCTTCGTTCCGAGTCCCGATTCCCCATCACCGTTGTCGTCGGCATCGCGATGTGAGTTATTGTTGGGGGTCCCTCATCCGTTTTTACATGTTTCGCATCCGCAAGTGGCCTGGATCTCCGCGAACCCTGGTCTACGTGATGTGCTTCGGAGGATTTCACGCGTCAACTCGTGCTTCAAGGACATGCGAACTGGTCGTCCCCATCGGAGCCCACACATCGTGAACAGCACACCCCTTGTCGTTCCAACCCATGGGCCAATGCTGTGGCTAGGCCTTTGGCGACACCCCTTGGCCCTGCAACGACACCAAACCAAACATCGTGAAATGGACCGGGCATGAGCCAAAATGCAAGGCGCAGGAAACGGCTCAGCCAAAACCCCTTGCCATGCTCGTCACATCGTGAGGCTCTCCACCACGACGACGACATCCCATTCCACACTTCCCATCTATCTATCCATCCCTCCAGTCTCGTCAACTCCACAACCCCCGCTAGCCACGTTCGTCGCCTGCCCAGATAACGATCTTAGCACCATCATCGCGTAAAACAAACGAACTCTTACAACCTCCCTGAAGTAGCAACATCCTCTCTCCCATGCTCTTCACGCACGCCCACTCACCTCGTCACCTTCTAGGCGAACGCCTCTATCCCTATTTCTGTGCAATTGTATTTCTGGCTTACCCGGTCTTACCAGCCAGAAACCAGCCCGTCCAGCCCCTTTGCCAACCATGCCAGCAGTCGAGGGCGCTAAAGAGTCCACCAAAATAGCCAAGGTCAAGAAAAGCCTCAAAAGTGGACGAAACCAGCCAGCGACAGCGCCCACCGCCGCTCTAGCAGAGCTGTCCACCGCACCGTCGCGGGCGCTATCTCCCAGGCGTGCCAGAGAAGCTCCCGGCGGGATAGTAGTTCTGGATAAGAGGGAAGGTGAACAAAACAATGAATATGACTATAATTCTCCATGCCAGCCTTGCCAGCCTCCGAAGCCGGCGCTATAGCAATCGTGGCATAGTCAAAGCGTACGAAGTTTATGCTGCTTTTGCGTTGCAATGGGGAAAAGACATAAGGGTTATTACCGGAGATGCAACAAGACGACTAGAAGCACACCGACGGTAGAACTTAACGCTGACTGACTGACCGTCCTTGAAGAGATGGAGGTGGCTGCTTTAGGCAACCCCTCGTCTGGCACTGACACTGCAAACACAACCCAAACCACCAACGGCCGACCCTTCTTGGCATCTCGCTCTAGCTCACCTCTAGCGGAGAGATTCTTCAGAGCAAAACTAGACACACGTCTCTCTCTCTGAGTCTCTGTGTGTCCGTTGTCCGTCTTTTCTCCAGGCGGCTTAGGTTCCCCCAACAAGAATAAACTTTCTCCGTGCTGCGTGTGTTGCACCACTCCCACCCCGACCGGACTGTCCGCACAGACTTGCCCCAGGGGAGGCGAACAAGAGACCCAAACGCAACGATCCCCCTCCTCTTCTTGCACTGACTGGGGGATCAGTTCTAGGCGCGGCAAGCAAAGCTACCGTGCTCTGAGTGGATATCTTCTTCCTGAAGAGTTAGAAGCAAACCTCTTTATTATGCTCAAGGTTCTCTTTGATATTGGAGGGGGAGGGTATTGGAAGAAAGAAGCCATCTTGACAAGTTCAGGCTCACCGCACATCCTTCTCGATATGATGCTGGCTAGGGGCCCTCTGGATCTGAGATACCTATGCCCGCACCCCTTGCCCGCATCCGCATCACACCTTTCGAGATCCATGTCTAGGCTGATGCCCCAGACGCCCACTCAGAATAGCGAAGCGGCTGGCAAGGCATCCGTAGCATGTAGCATCGTGGCAAGCAAGCGCAATAAACGCACTCGCGCACGCAGTAGTTCTTCTCTCCTGCGTAGTATTAGCAGTTCTGGCAGCATCAGCAATAGCATCCCATCCATACCTTTCGCATCTGTATCAGTGGATAGGTTGGTCCCTGGAGAACCGGAGTGGAGACTGTCAAAGTTCCAGACCCCTCCCTCCCTGATAACAGCGTCTCATCATCGGAACCCGGTCGCATGCCATGCCACCACCATCACCACACACACACGACTCCGGATTGTATTTGCAGCACACCCAAAGAGACGCGCATTCTCACACATTCGCATACACACCTAGACCGCATTCCGCATACTGCATGTCGGAAGACGCAAGGCCCTTGGAGGCTCCGGCCCCAGCACCCCAGCAGCACCCTCCAGTGTCCCCATCCATGTGGCTACAAGCCTACGAATACTTACAGATGTCCGGGAGTCGCATACAGACGAGATGGCGAGGGGGGGAGGAAGGAAGAAAAGGGCAAAGATTTGCAACCACTGACAAGAGTCTGGGCCATGGAGAACCAACAGATGCGAGGTCTCCCACGCACGCCACCACCATCATCAACCATCCGGCGCTCGTCCTCGTCTTTACGTCCATATCCCTCGCCGCTATCACCACCACCTACACCACGACCAAGATCCTAAAGAGAGCCCTCCCGCATCCGTCTCGCCTGCTCCCATCTAGGTATACCGCTATGCGATGAAAAAAAAATACCTCTTCTACGACACCTGAATCCCCTCAAACCCCTTCGTCAGTCTCCACCCAGCCACCACCACCACCGCCTCCCTCCCACACAACACCACAACACCTCCCCGCGTCTCGCCCCGTTTCGTCCGCGCCCGTCGCCGTCCAACCCAAAAGCCATAATCTTCAATGATCGTCGGACCCTGAAAAAATATGATTAAGAAAAACCTGATCTTCAGACACACAAAGGGGTTCAACTCAGGCGGCAGCCAGCAAGCTCAGGTAGCCCTAGGTGGTAGCGTTGTGTTGCTGCCGCTTTAGCTTGCTACACGCACGCAAAAGTTGTAAACTGACGTGCTGACTGACGTCCATCTTCCCCATGAAGGGGCAATCATCGCCTCGCCTGAAGTTTGAACCGTAGTTCCCCAGCCCAAAGACAGGATTTGCACCCTCGCCATAGATACACGCACGCAAACGCGACGCAAGCCTTCCACGCAGCGGGCATTGCACATGAAAGAGACACACGGGGAACGCCATCGACGACGATCTCTCCAGGACCCCTATGACCTCACATCAACAAGCCCCCCATTGAGAGCCACATGTTACATGTTGTCCATTGAATCTCGTGCTTCTATGGTCTCCTGGCCGTAGAAACTGCAACTCAAAAAATGCTATGCGCTGTGTGAGCCGATGCCCAAAGAAACTCTCGCTGTAATTCGAATATTCCATCATCACCAAGCCTCTCACGCATCATCATCATCGCCCTCACATCTCACAAAGCAGACAATCACCAAATGGCCTCACTCATCTGCACAATTACGAGGCCCCCATCTCTCCCTCGTTACCAACGCGGTTCTCTCCGCCCACCACCCGGCATCGCCCATTACACTCTTCGTAACATCAATGCCGTAGGTGGTGTTGATAGAACCAAAAAAATGCCTCCCCCATTCTCCACCCGTGGCGAACGGTAAGCCGTGGCGCCTGCAACCGCAACCCATCAGCCATCCTCGAAACACCACTGTCACTACCAACTTGACCAAACGAAGCATCGATGCCATTGCCGAGGATCCAGTCATCCATTCCAAGTTCGAGACTGGTCTGATCTCTGGCTCCTCATGGCTACATCTGCGCCTCATTCGTACGTCGCGCACCACAACCCGCTCGCCTCGATAGTGATATCCACCATCAACAGAGAAGCGCCGAGATTATGTGTCAATTATCAAGCCTCTCATCAAAAATGGCCCGAACATCCCCGGGGGGTTCAAACCACCATCTCCAGATAACCTTGCCCGCCCACACATCCATCACCAAAAGCTACAGTCATGAAAACACCAATCTTCTCCACTCCAGCATCCCATCGCCACTGCGCGGTTTTGACAAACATTCAGACGAGAAGAGGCATACCTCCGCCCACTAGACTTTGGTTTACCCCATCTCGTAGCACAACAGATGGTCTCTACTCCCCAACATCCGCCGCGACAAGAACTCTAGTAGGTGGTTCCTCAGTTCCTTGATACCTAAACGCGCGAGAACGGGGATCAGCGAGAAACGTTCCCCGGGTCGCCGAATCTGATTTTCATTTTTACCGCCGTTCAGGCTCCCGGGGTCCAGCGATACCCACCCACCCATGCCCCCCCGTCCGTGTCCGGAAGCCGGGGAACCTATGCCCACGACGATTCAACAAACCCTCTTCCTCCCCGCAAAATCTAATGTGTGTCCGTGTCCGTGCCGCCGGAAACCCATCGTGCTCAGGTAATTACCTAGGAAAGAAAAGAAAAAATCAAGTCAGCCGCGAAAAGTATAACCAAACAGACAGAGTTACAAAGACTCAACGACTTCAGCACTGACTTCAAGCCTTCAACTCAATCCCCGCAAAAGCTTGTCCGATTCAAGATACAGAAACTTTGGAAACGTGCCAACAATGCTTTCTGCCGACTTTTTTTGGTCTTTCAGTCTACACCCTCGTCTCCATGTTCGTGCCATTGAATACATCCATGATTTGTGTCAGCCGTACCATCTTGCTGCCGTTATCCTCCCCCCATCGTCGGGCAAAAGACACCTTATCAGACTTTGACTCTGCATCTCGGAGCCGGAGGGAGGCATCGTAATAGGTGGCGTCGAAAATGTCAGTCAAACGTGGAAAATGTAGTCCAGTTGCTACCAACTTTGTAAACCCAAGCCGCCACTCCAAAGCGAACAATGTTTACTTTTTCCTTCCCCAGAAAATCCATCCCATCCACCGCCCACGCAAACGTTATTCCCTCAACGACCGTGCAGTGCATTCCAACGTCCAAGTTTCCACGTCTAGGTTCTCCGTACGCAGTACAGGTACAGCCCCGAGCCAACCAACGCACGGTGAGAGCTGAACCACAAATTGAAAAGAAACGCTATCAAAATATGCCTGTAGGTCCGGGTTCAGGGTCCTCTGAGAAACCGGGGAATGCAGCCTCACTCACTTCACTCATTCCCCGTGCCTCGTAACCTTTGAACCCCGGCATCGGAGGCTGATAACTCTCTTTCTCAAGTTCTCAATCCCCATCCGTGCTGTCGTGTCACATCTCTCGTGTTCCCAGAAAGACTATCCCCATAGTCTTACCAACTTATCAGAAAGCCCGTCTAAACTTGCCTATCCCACTTATGATTATTCGCCGGAAGAGATACTGTGTATGCAGTGTAAACAGTCGTGTATCACCACACCATCAACAGGCATGATTCCGGCCACGATATCTACTCAACACCCCGTTTAAACGTCGGCGACCCGATGAATCCGTTATATCCGCCGAGTCCACTCCTCCCTGCGCCCCCTCCCCGAACCCACTCGCCGAGAACCCCGGAAGTCCCACGATATCAGGTCCCACGGGTGACGGGCGGGTGCGCTGGTTCCACCGACAGCCGTTGAAGTCGTGTGCGACTACCAACCCGATGCACAGCACAGCCGCCGACCACATTGCCATGCACCTCTCGCAGTGGCATCTCATTTCTCACCTCCATCATCATGCATCACCTCCATGAATCCAGAACGACCAAGTCTCTTGAGACTGGTGATGCCCCCTCACCTCACGCCTGTTCTCAACCATCTCAATCCCCAGTGTAAATCGGTCCAGACCACCAAAACACGCCTTCGCGAAGTGACAGAAACGCAGGTAATCTCACAAGCTTCCCCCGCGTTATGTTCACATCAGCGCCACAAGAATGCTGAAGATCCCGCCCTCATCCAAACACATCACTGTCTCGCCGCGTCAAGCGTTGTCTCGTGCTTGTCTCGCCCTTCTCCCTCACCACATCTCCCGTCGCTCGCGTGTTAGTGACGACTGCAACTGAACCCCCTTTTCCCCTCCCGATGAGGTATCCTTTTGTTCCTTTCCCCGCACAGCAGGGCGAGGGAAGGTAACAGCAAACGGCTCCATCTCCACCCCTCTCTGATGCCCTCCGCATGCAGGTGGCCCTCCACGTTCGCGCTGACTGCCTTGGCCTGCTCGACTCGAGTGCCTCACCAATGCCTATCCAATTCACATGTCTCTCCATGTCGTCTCAATATTCTCCATGTTGCCTGCTCTCTCTCTCCCTGCCTCATCTGGTCTCCCATACCCACACTTGCTTTGTCATCGCAGATACGGCAGGCAAACTCCAGCGTAGCAACGGGCGATGAGAAAGACCCCGCTGCATGCAAGCTGCGGTCTCGTCCTGTCCCAGAACACACAAAACTCATCGCCGCGTTCGGGACGCTATCGACGCGGGAGCACCGGATTGGCAATCTTCTACATACCGGTCACACTCTCTTTCCTCAACGCTCCTTGGACCTTTCCCACCCAAGCATCCACTCAGTACCACTTACCGCTGGTAGACTGCCACACTGCTACCATCACCAGCTAGGGCAGGACGCCAGGCAGAACATCCAGCCACTATGAACAGGCACGCCATATCCGAGAGAGGGGTACCGTCCAATCAGACGGCCCACGAGGCGGCTGCTAAGAAAAGAGCCGCTGGGTTCGACCGGAGTCGAGTTGGTGTGCTGACGGCGCGGCCCCTGTCCCACGACGCTGGCTATGGCCGTGAACATAGAATCGGTACATGATTACATGCCCTTCATCTCAGAGCTCAAGCTAGTGCTGCTACTGCTACTGCCACGGGTAGAGCTTCCCATAGGAGTTCGACCATGGAGCAACAAAGGCGGGGTCGATCTAGAGACCGATTTGCATCTCCACCTTTAAGCTCGTAGTGATATTTCCAATGGGGAAGGGTGCATGGAAATCATCCCCATCGAGCTGCGTTGCGGTCTGCATTACAGCCTCAGATGAGGCCCAGGAATCCCCCGCCCGTCTTATCAAGAGAAGTTGTCGAATGCGGTTGACAATCCCCGGATCGTGCTTCAGTCATGAAAGTATCGCAACTCCCCCGCTGCTGCCCGTCCTCGCATAGGAGACCGACGTGCAGATCTGGTGTGGATGTGTGGAGGACGACATCAGACTCCATTGTCCTTGTCATGCTCTTGCTTGATTGACTGCCAGGCCTCAAACCAAGCGGGCGTCGAAACCAGACCAAACTGGTTTGCCCGTGAAGCTCTTTTCACACATCTCCAGTACCTGCACAAAGGCGCAAGTACTCGAGATGGCTGGCGTGTAACGTATCCTACTACGAAGCTTAGCACAAGACATCCGCAAGCACTCTCCGCCTTTGACCGTCAGCTATACAACCTAACTCTCGTCCGTAGCTGAAGATCGGTTCCCCAGACTACCCCAGGTTCCCAGCCCCGGGGAAAAGTCAATGTTGAACAAGGAAAGGACCCTGAGAAACTGAACCCAGACTCAAACTTCCAGATTAGTCTTGATAGTGGCCAGGTTCAGTCTAACTCACCAAACACCCATGCCGTGCGTGAGCGTGTGCCCGTCCAGAGTTCGTCGACGAAACACGCACACCTCCCCCTCCTAAAACGGCCAAAAGCATGCCCTTCTTGGTCTACCGGGAAGCCCCAAAAAGGAGCAAATCTGAATTGCCGTATCCTGAGATTGCCCCCTTTGCTCCATCCGGCGCCGCTCCGGGGAAAACTCAGACGCCATGACAACAGCGGTGAACCCAGCTGACCTCTCCGCTTCAGTGTCCCGCCACCACGTTGAGTAAGCAACAACCTCAACACAAACGCCTCGGACGATTTAGAAAAGCACCGGTTTGCGGGCGGCAGTCGACGCTCAAAGAAGGTCGGTGGCTTGAACCATTGTTCAACGTGGTATGGTCCTCGAAAGAATAACGTCCGTGAGACCAGAGGTCTCGTCTTAGCGCCTGGCCCGTCTCCCCGCTTTCTCCAAGCTAGACCTGGAGAACTAGGGACGATGCTGAAACGGTCTCTTCGCTGCTCTGTGCCACCGGACGCCGTGGAAATGCAAGGTCGACATGGCATGGCCAACTGGAGCTTCCACGTCGTTGTCGTCGCAGTGAAGGTTTGTGGGGTAGCGATGCAAGACGCTGGTTGGTCGATGGAAGATGTTGCCTCTGAATGTCGTCTCATCAACGGGCATGGCATTGCCTGGGAGAAAAACGCCCGGCTGTTTAGATGTTGCCCGCGGCGAGTCCTAACAAACCGCCATGCCATGGTCCTGTCCGGTCGCTCGTCATCTCCATCATGACTAGCGAATAGGTTCATCATGGTGTAACATCGCCATTGCTCTACACCCAGTCAGCCAACGACCAGTACCAATGGGGTGGCGACGTACAAACGATCTTACCATTACATTGCCAGCGAAGTCTTTTGCAGCAATGCTTCATGAAGTAAGCCGATGGCATTCTATATTGATGCCACCAGCGTCCCCGAGGCTGACTGCATGCTGTGGGCGTGAAACGGGCAGTAAGTAAACTCACCGACCTCGAGAATGCGGGGTAGTTAGATCCCCTCCCATTGGTACGGTGTAGAGGCATTGCGTCCTCGCCGAGCGGATATCAAAGGCAAATACTATGTTTCCTCATTCTAGGCGTGTTCTCTGTTGTGCAACATTGCCGGTGAACGTCTGGGCAAAGCCCGAAGATCGTGTGTTGGCTAATGTTGTGCAACATTCCGTCAAAGCAATGGAATGAGGCCATCCGAGAACCTCGTTGAGAACTTCTGTCGGAAGTAAAGGGTGTGAGTAGTGTGTACGAAGTCATCGTCTTCCTCAACCCAGTGCAGTATGATATGGCGAAGCTCGAGGTATTGCGTGGCGGCTAGGTTGTTAACTCCAGAGGGTCCAGATGGGAGCTCCCGTCTTACTGCCTCGTGGTGATACCAAGCGTTGCTCAGTCAAGCTTCTATATTGTGAACAGTGTGTCAGATGACCAGTTTCGCTTGATGACTGGCAAATCGGAAAAGCTTCCTGAAGATGCTGTGTTCCGAGGTCCCGACTGCTCAGACGGCCAGGATTTCGGTGCCACTTTCGAACGATATGAAAGAGAAAACGGGGTAAACACTTGTCATGCTGGGCTGAAAACCGTATCACGACATGTGTACACAAAAGCCGCACATATCTTGCTAGGGCAGATATTAATGTTGACGAATGGAATCCGTTGCCCTGGGCCATTGGTGGTGCTTGCCAAACCCGGCTGGCGTGTAGAATCCGACGTTGCAGGCTCAAAAGATCACTAGACCTCTCACATCTTACAAGTTCCCTCGTCTGCGGTGCGGAAATTAGCAGCTCATGCACATTGCCGGCCTCATGATAATGCTTATATCTCGTGCGCAGCCCATCGGTCTTCGGTGCGGCTTCGGCCAGGCATCCGTTGCCTGCATGGCAAATTGTAAATACCATCTTCGGATCGTTGGAAAAGCTTGGAGTGATCGCTCCGGAATGGCGTAGGTATCTCTTCATTACGGCGTGCACGGCAGGAAACTTTCCGTGCGGCAGACGCCCTCGCGTGTTCTTGCGGCACGGTGAAGATGCTTCTGGCTAGGTAGACCAGAGTTGATAAAGAGCCTCATCCTAGATCGACACGGCGGCGTCCGCACGGTAGCAGGTGGGTCGCGGTTCCAGCATGGCACCGGCAAATGGACGAAACTCTATCTTGTAGATCTGTAGACCAACACCGTCTGAGCCTCAAAGGTGAAGAAAGATTGGCCAACCAAACGCTTGATTGGAGCTTCCGCATCCTCGAACAAAGTCCAGGCGAATCTCACCGCTACTTGATCGAGCGTCTGTCCAAGATAAGCCTGAGAGTGCTAATCCCGAGCTCTAGTAGCTTGCGCATGAGATATATCGAGGATGTTCCATTGTCCAATGGAACGTCGGCCACCCTTTCGAGGGATATTAGTTAGCCAAAACGAAATCCAGAGGCATCCACAATCTACAGAGGTGTAAGCCACGGTAGCCGCCAGTGGCGAGTCTCTTGGTCCGACTGCGGCGGCGTGGTGGGTGATGGCAAGTGTGATGGCTGCCCTAACCCCAAAACCACTTGTAATCTTGGTTTAGGGTGATGTTTGTGGTACATGGGGCGCAGCTACGTGTGGCTCGATGCCACCGGGGTCAGCCACATAAGAGATAATTCGACTGAGAAGAGTGGCGCTTCCGACTCGATCCCCAAGGAACGAATACCTGGATAGGCAGATAGGCAGATCACTGGTGCCTATGCGTGCATCTTGTTGATGAGACGCGGGAGTGGCCTGCCTCTCAAAACCAAGGCAAAGCCGCTACGTGGAAGTGCAAGCGAAATATTTCGAGGAGGCCTGCCGGTTGGGGGTCGAACCCCGGGCGAGAAGTACGCGTCCCGTCTTCTCGATGAAGCTCGAACCGTCTTCAGATTACACGGCGATCTTGGCTGCAAGGGATTGATCAAATATCAAGGAAGTCATCGACAGCCTCGAGTGCCGAACTGCCGTTATGCCAGATGCAGTGAGCTAGTGGTATATTTGGCTAGATTGCGATGGCGTTTTGCGGTGTATGCGCGGTGAATGTCTCGGTAGGCCTCTACGAGGTCTCGGTGAAGAAGCGGTCAGAAAGGAAAGCGGCGGGAGCAAGTG